CGAATGTGTTCATAGAAGCCAGCTGGATTCTCATATCTGCTTCTGCATCCAATTTGTTGTTTTTATCAAAGTATGTATAAAAAAATAATCTTGCTTCACAAAGATACATGATTAGAAAAGGGAAGACCTTTCAAAAGGAATTCCTGGACCATACTTTGAGAACCATTGTGCTAGGCTGCAGAGGCAGTACGGGTGGGGAAGAAGCAATGGTAGGGCTGGTGATCACAGAAGAGGAAGCAGAACTGCAGCTCAATCAAACCCAAATTCCTTGGGGATCACATTATCTTACCTCCTATGTTATGACCATTCCTCATTCTTTTTAATGTTCCATGTATGTTCTTAGTGCTTTACTCATCTTAACTCTTTGGGGACAATCTTAAGAAAATGCTGTATTAAATAAAAAGCAAAGCCAGAAAGCAGGTACTGAAAATAGCGTGACTAGAGGGTTGTGACAGGAAAGCAGAGACTGGCATCCTTGGTGACTGGCACAGGGCTTCGAACATGAGGGGCTCCCGGTGCTGGTCAATGGACACACGTGGATGTGTGTCTCTCTTGGATGACCTGTGACTTCACACAAAAAAGACCTCGGGCCTTTAGAATTTAAGGCAGGATGTTGGATGATCCAGGTGCCAGTTAATAAAGAAAAACAAAACCTGCAGTGCCTGGCTTTGGGAGTGTGTGCAACCTTGAAACGGCTGTTCTCCCATCTAATCCCCGTGCCTTTTGGGGAGGGCTCTAGGAAGCACTCATGGAAGAATACGCCATCGCGGCTCAAGTGTGGAAGCTGAGCACGTGCGACCTGTGTGAGATCGCCAGGAACAGTGTGCTGCAGAGCGGCCTGTCACATCAGGTAAGTGTGTGCGGTGGTGCTGCCTCGGTCCCTCCCTGACTTTCCACAAGCCGCCATGACTGCTGACTGACTGTGTGCCAGGTGCAGAGCAAGCAGGGCCTCTGGCTCTGATGCCCAGGCTCTGGGACAGAATCCTTGGGAGCCTTCAGAGTTTTCGCGGCCGCTCCGTCACCTTTTTGAGACCTCTGCACCTCCCTGGAGAGGACTTCCCTGATCACCCATTCTACAGTAGCCACGTGCTTGCCATCTTCTTTGTCTCCTGTTTTTCTTCCACATGGTTATCACCACTGACATTGTGTTTAGTTAAGTGTGTTTCCGGCTTTCCCCTGTGAGGACTTGTGAGGGCAGGGACTTGTTCAGCATTATACCCCTAGAAGTGTCCCTGGCATAGAGCAGGCACTCAGTATTTCTTGAATAGATGACAGTATATCGAGATGGAATAAAAAACTCAAGGATGGGACTCGAGCCTCAGTCATTTTCTGTAAAGCTCCCTAAGTAATTCTGATGTGGGGCTGGTGCCGAGAACCATGCTTTAGATGGTATCTTAGGTCCCTCGGTGTCTCTCCTGGGTGATGCCACAGGTATGGGGAGACGCTGCCAAAGGTGCTGCTCTGGTTGGATGATGACACAGAGTTAAAGGCTTAAGGTTCTCTTTGTGTGGAGTCTGGTCCCTGGGACAGGTCCTCCCAGCAGCATTTACCACCTGATCTCATCAGCTCTCAGGAGGGCTTCTTGGTTAGCATCTCAACACCTTCACTGCTTTCTCCTTCTTCAGCAGCTCTGGCAGAGCTTGTCTTTCCTCTGATCAAGGAAAGCACAGTCAGGAATGAAGGGTTATCTGAAGAATGACTGAGGATGTTGAGGTGACATCCTCGAGGACACAAGGCAAGGAGGAAATTTATGAGTCCTGTGGGGAGAAGTCCTGCTTGAGGATCAGGGGAACTAGTCTGCTTTGCTTTGGCTGATGTCAAAGCTGCCCGAGTGGATACACAAAGTGAGTCCAAGGTATATTGTTTCATTTGTATTTCTTGCTCCATAGGAAAAGCAAAAGTTTCTGGGACAAAATTATTATAAAGAAGGACCTGAAGGAAATGACATTCGAAAGACAAATGTTGCTCAGATCCGGATGGCATTCCGATATGAGACCTTATGCAATGAGCTCAGCTTCCTGTCTGATGCCATGAAGTCAGAAGAGATCACAGCTCTGACCAAATAGGTCCAGTGTTCGACATGCTTTTTAACTTTAAATTAAACTAAGGTTTAATTTCACATCTACTGCGGCTAATAGTGGTCAAGATACCAAACGTGGGCTTTCTCCTGTGAAGAGGGTGCCTCTGAAGAAATTTCAGATGGTGATTTTTGTTGCACTGTTCACTTTCGGATCTAACACGCCCACTTTTTCTGTAAGAAGATGGCGACTTCTCCTCGGGGATCTGGGAGCTAGGTACTTGTCTATACTTGTTCCTAATTTTCCAAATATTTCTCTTGAAACCGCCAGTGCTTGAGTTGTTGGGGCCAGGATTTTCCATGGTCAAATGCCAAATGACATGAAGTCTGCTTGAAGTCTCTGTAGGGCCTGTAGGCTAATGGGTAGTTGTTCATTTCAGCCTCTGGCTGGCTGGCTGCCTTAAATGAAATCAATCTCAAAACTTCATTTCATCAGGGGGCTGCCTGGGGACAGTTAAAACATTTCTTTCTTGAAAATTTGTGTTTTTAATGAATTTATTTTTATTTTATTTTTTTTTGAGTTGGAGTCTCACTCTGTCGCCCAGACTGGAGTACAGTGGCTGCTCCCGGCCATCGCAGTCTCGACCTGCTGGGCTCCGGCGATCCTTCCGCCTCAGCCTTCCAGTAGCTGGAACTACAAGCGCATGCTACCACGCCTGGCTAATTTTTTGATTTATTGTAGAGATGAGGTCTCGCCAAGACCCGCCGGGGCGGGTCTCAAACCCGCGGGCTCAGGCAGTCTACTCACTTCAGCCTCCCAAAGTGCGGGATTACAGGCTGAGCCACCAAGCCCGGCTTTTAATGAATTTTTAAAACTGTTTTATTTAGTCCTTCTCTCCCCCCAACCCCCATTTCTAGTTAGGAAGCCAAAGGTACTCATTAAAACAGTCATTCTTATTTTGAGTCTTGGTTTCCTCATCAGTGTTCTGTGACTGCCCTCACGGTCATGACGGGGGAGGGAAGGGAGTGAGGCTCTGGGCTGTCAAAGGGACTCTGCATCCGTTTTCACTGGGGCTGCTACATGACACTTTCATTTGCACCAAGGGCTTTGAAAAGCACAAGACTAGATGATCTCTACTCCTTCTGGCTCTAATATTCTATGATTGTAGCCCAGGTGTCATTTACCATAAAGAGTTAGGGTCAGAGAAGTGAATTTACTTAAGGTCACACAGCTAATAAATAATAGGACTACAACTAAACTTCCTTATATTCTTAATCCTGTCCTTTCCCCACTATCCCAAATGTTCTTCTTCTTCTTCTTTTTTAATCACTTTAACCTGGTGCATTTTTTTAAAAGGCAAAACTTCTCCTTTACCTAATATGAAGACATCTTCAGAAGATATAGTGGTCCCAGGGGCCAGGTAGAAAGCATTTTTTAAGACCAATCTGAATTTAGCCTTTACCAATGTACTCTTTATCTGTGTTAATAGTGCCTGGTATGTAGTAGGTGCTCAATAAATGCATATTAATTGACAAAATGAATTTCTCTTGGCAACTTTTTAAGGACATGTGCGCCTAGTATTCAACAAGCTGCTCAAGTACCTTCTTATCTATCTCTGTGGGCAAATTCAGACTATGGGACATCTTTTGAATCCTTATAAACCCTATTTTTGTTTGTGAACTTATTTTAGATTGTATTGTCTTGTGACTTTATGATGCCTGTTCCCCCCCTACTGGTTAACTTAGCACATGGAACTATAAATAAAGTCTTTATACTAGGCAAATATATATATATATATGCTATCTTATAGCTAATTATGAAATTATATGAAAATCTGTCGCATACAGATTATTTTTGAAAAGCCCCGTTTGTACACATTTGCCCTAACATAGGAAGTATTGTACAGTTTTTCATTGTCATTTTATCTGTATCACATTATTTTTTAAATTGTGAAATAAATTCTGTTAGGACTGTGGCTTGATGATTTAAAACGATTGCAAGTTAATCACATTTAAAACAAATGTTAAAGTTTTTTTGCTGTAAGAAAAGTTTGGGCGTCATGAAGAGCTCTCAATAATAACTGCTCATTTATCTTCTACTGAGACTTCTGAGTGCTGTGTTGGTATTGTAGACACAACTGAAGGTGATATATTGGTGACACACCTAAGTATTCTATACCTGAACTGATGACTAGTATAAAAAAACGAATGTAACTCCAATAAAAGGAACACTAATCAAATAAACATCATTCCTTGAAAAGCTCTGCAATTAGTAAGCTAGAGGATGACTGAGAGTGAGACTATAAAAGGCTGCAAGATGATCGGAATATATTTCTGTGGAGGTTTTCATGTCATTTGACAGTAAAATGTGTACTTCTTCACAATGTGAAGATGATATGCATCAGTAAGCGGAAGTATACATTGCCACTCCTTATCAATGTCTTTGCTCTTTTCAGTGCTAAGAGTCTATGATGTTTCTCTAATCACATTTTTATATATTGGAAATAATTTTATAAGGTAAACAAAAAAATGCCACAGGGTTGAGTATTTTATTGATCATTTGTACAGTCCAATAGGGTAAAAAAACCATAAAAACAAGTCCGTTGTCAACTGTTTATATTATATTGTCATTATGTTGCCCATCATAAATGTGGGTGATCCCCTGATTTCCCTAGTCTCCAAGTTGTTTCTTATTCCTGGACAAAGTAAGCTTAAGACAAAAATAGCTAAAAATGCGGGTTCTTCAGACTGCCTTTTAATGAACCCAACTTCCCAGTGTTGATAATCACGGAACCAAAAGATATTTTCAAGCAGCCTTATCACCCAGATGTATAATAGATGTAAGGACATTGAGTACAATTTGAAAGGAATTTTAAAACACAGCACACAAACATCACAAAACTTCAGAGCACAAAATAGTCCTCTAAGGAATACAAACATTTAGTTTAGTATATAAGAATGCGAAATTATATGATAAGAAAAAAAACTCTTTTACTTGCTAAAGATTATTTATTGCACAATTTATCAGTTTGCCCTAAGAATAACAGAGATACTAATATTCTCAACCTCTAAATTCAGTACACAGTTAAATTCATTTTCTCAAACTAAAGTTCTAGAGCATTATGAGTAAACCCTTTGTTACTGAGTTAGGATAGGGAAAACTTTATAACTTTTAAAACAAATTCCTTACAGTTCATGAAACCACTTCACAAATTCTAGAAGGCACACATTATATTTCCTATCATAGTAAGTACATTTGAGTGTCATATTTTAAAAAGACAAAGCTGTACAAAATACAAAAAGTATACATTTAATCCATTAAATTTACAACTTTTATAATTAGTTATTACAGTAGACCCTACCTAAGATTCACATCTAAAGAATTATCACCCAGTTTAATGGAATGAGCAGAGAACTGTGCTGCTCGTTATTTGCTAAGGCTAATAAAAACATTTTCTATTTCACAGTAGTTCAGTTAGTGTCTTGGAGCTATATTGTAAAATAAAAAGGTTTGGGCACTATCAAACTACAGGGCTCACTATTAAATCATTCTTTGAAAGTTGAAGGATTCTGGGGGATAAAATCATTGGCTATACCTGGAAAGGTGTAAACTTCTGCAAAGTAATTTTGTTCATTTTCAGAAGCATTTGAAAATTAGGCAATCTGAATTAATTCTAATCCAAAAGGATTACTTAAAATCAGAGCTGGAAAAGATCTCAGAGGATCATCTATCCCAAGCTTTTCAAAATATATTCCATGGAATACTAAGAATCTACGCAGGAGATACAGGGTTCTACGAGTCTGACTTGAACTTAATTTAAAATTTTAAAAATTAAGTCAAAAACAATTCCCATCATGCAAATCTGTTATTCATCAAATTCGAATATACTGGCTATCAGCAATGCATTAATATGTATTTTTATTAGTTGATTTAAAATTTATAGTATATAAAGTTTACATAACATATAAGGAAATTTATATTAATGAAACATGACTTTTATATAGTGGAGTAGGGTGTGTACATGCACACATGTGTGAAAGGGTTCTGCTAAGACTTTACTTAAAAAACAAGGTTTCATTGTTGAAATAGTGTGAAAACCACAGATGAAGTCTCAGTTCTAAAGTAGGAACCTACAGACAAGAGTAACAGACTTTTTCAAGGTCACACAACCATCAAGTGCATTAACAGGTTGATATATGACAGAAACCTCAGTACTCTGCTTGTATAAACCTCCATAGTGAGCATTTAGCTATTTGGTACTTAGCTATCCCCATGAAGAATGTTAATGGATTAGTCTTCTGTATTTTTAGGGAAAAATCAAGCTACCTTTGGTCAGATATTTCTTCTTGAAATGAAGTGAATTTTATTTGCATGCCTATTAAAATCCCAGTGTTTAAAAATTCTGTCATCAATAAGCAGCAACTTAAATTGTATACCTTGGTTTAGGAATATATTATTTGCAATGTACCAACTTTAGGTCAGAAAAATTAAAATTTAAATTTTAAAGGAGACAGATCTTGTTTTATTATATTGCAGAAATGTTAATATTAAAAATTTTAGTTCATAAGCAAAAAAAATATTTGAGGTGCAACTGAAGATCACAATTCCATTATTGCTATATTCTTTTGGAATATCTCAAGAGAAGTACAGCTAAACAGTAAGAAAGCTAAATTCAAATTTTCAGAGGTGTTTTAAGTATATGGTTAAAAAAAAGTCTCACCCTATTTTCTTCTCTCTTAATCTAAGAAATTTGAGGACTTAGAAACTGCAGAAAGATGTCTTCAAGTCGAAAAAATAAAAGCACCATAAACCAATGTTGAATGACTTATCATAATTTGAAAATATAAAATTTAGTATTTGTGACACAGAAAAACTTCCTCTGAAACTCAAGATGTGTGAGGCTTATCAACACCATTTAGAATAGTTACCCAGCAGAAGGAAAGCATTTCCAGAACAGCCAAGACAATTCCCCAGCAGAAATCCATTTGCAAGGTAAAGTCATGCCTAACTTTATAGGCCTCACCCAGAATTATATGGCATGACAAAAAAATGACTTTTAATTTTAAAAAGGGTATGGTAGTTCCAAAACACTGCTAGTTATGAAATAATTCAGGATCCTTTCAAGTAAAAATTATTAAAGGAGCAACAATTAACCACAAGGGGGCATATATACTCCTTAGATCCCAGCAGAAAGACTAGTTTAAGTAGTAACATGCACTTTGATCCATTTTACATTTTCAGTTATTTAAAATTTTCTTTCTCAGATGGCTACAACTTTTTAACATTCAAGGTTTATTTTAAACCTAACTAAAAATATTTCAGAATACTCTGTCCTACAAAATAGTAATGTTTAAGAAGCCTCTGGAAATGTTGCCGTTACCTTAGCAAAGGATTCAAGAGCAATTAGTTCTAATACACATTTGAACAGATAAATAATAGGAAAATATGGTCTAAAACAGTAGCAAATTTTAGTTTACTATAAATGGAAGACATGGAAAATTTATTTTTAAAAATGGGGCAAATTATCAGAATAGCAAAAATAAGAGGGTGGGAAAATGTACTCTTCTATGTCTGTGCCACAACAACCCTGCATTCTTTTACTATGATCAAATATCTGTAGTCCACAATAGCAACAGAATGCCTTCACTCCAAGGTCATGGCCTATGGGGCTGGCCTGCCTCATCAGCCATGTTAAGAATATAGTTAGCCATATCATCTTCAGTGGGTGCATCTGACACTACCCAAGATTCATTTGCTCCAGTCATCTGTAGGCGACAAATAGGGCAATTCCTGTGTCGATCACTCCTATTAGAGAAGTCAATACAAGAACAGTTTGTTTTCTTTTTCTTCTTTTTTAAAAATGGGGTTTGAAAAGTAATACATGTACATGGTTTTTAAAAAAACAAATGGCATAAAAGTATACAGGGAAAAAGAAATCTCTCTCTCTCATCCCAGTCTTCAATTCTCTTTCCCAGGGGGAATCACAGTTACCAGTTTCTTATGTATTCTTATGTATTCTTCTTAATGTAGGGATAGACTAAGCATGATTACGTGTGTGTGTGTGTGTGTGTGTGTGTGTGTGTGTGTGTGTGTGTGTGTGTGTACAGCACTTTCTATTTTTCTACTTGTAAATATATGGGGGAACTCTAAAAGTAATTTATTAAAAATTGTGTATTTATTCTTACTGTTTAGATTCAGTTACCTTCAAAGTACTTTCTGTTTGATGCAATACACTTATCAAGATGCTTTTCCTACTGCTCAAAACAGTTTTGAGGCCGGGTGCGGTGGCTCAAACCTGTAATCCCAGCACTTTGGGGGCCAAGGTGAGGGGATTGCTTGAGCCCATGGGTTCAAGAACAGCCTGGGCAACTTGGCGAGACCTCATCTCTATGATAAATCGAAAAATCAGCTGGGAGTGGTAGCACGTGCTTGTAGTTCTGGCTATCTGGAAGGCTGAGGTGGAAGGATCACTGGAGCCCAGCAGGTCAACGCTGGGGTGGCTCTGAGCAAGTCACTGCACTCCAGCCTGGATGATGGAGTCAGACTACAACTCAAAAAACCAAACCAAAACAAAACAAAAACAGTTTTGAACTTCTCAGTTTTGATGCCTCAGTGCATCTGCCATTTGTTGTTTCACCTCTTCCACACTGGCAAAACATTTTCCTTTGAGAACTTTTTTCATCTGGGGAAACAAAAAAAATGTTGCTCGGGGCAAGATCAGGTGCATAGGGCAGTTAGGGCATGGGGGTCATGCCATTTTGGATCAAAAACTGCTGAACAGTCAGCATGTTATAGGCAGGAGTGCTGGCAAATCAGCCATCATGAAATGGGCAAACGTGTTGAAAGAATCTCAAAAAAAAAAAAAAAATTCACTGAAGCTTAGTGCAGCCTCTCACAATGCTAGCTTGTACACTGATGCCGATGGATTCCTAGAACACTTACCTAGCCCAGGAAGCCTGTACTACAAGAGGCTTGCCCTCCAAAAGAGAATTCTGCTTTCTTCATATCTGGTAGACCATTATGTATCAGCTCATATTAGAGCTGTTTATTCTTTTTAAACATATACCGTATAGATATGCCATCATTTACTTAAGAAGTTTGCTACAGATGGACATTTAGGGTTTTTTTCCTCTTTTGTTGCTACAGAAATGATGCAATTCACATCCCTATACCTAAATAGGTAAAAGTTTTCCTTTACAATCAATATTCCTTGTCAGTCCTAAGGAGGAAATTGCCTCTCACCAATGGATGATCTGTTCAAAATGTGAAGTGTAAATGTTTACTTGTGATTATTTAAATGGAAGCCATTATTCTAGGAATAACTTCTTGGCAGTGGCAGGGAAATGTGACAATAGAAAAGTATATTATCAATTATTTTTCTAAGTAATATCTGCATGACTCTTGAACAATATACCTACCCATTCCTTACTTAAAGGTCTGATAAAAATTCCTATGGTTCATATGCAGCAGGAAGATTCAAGAAATTGTATAAAAATGGAACACACAAGATTTAAACCAAAAGATGACCTTTACATGAAGAATAATTTTTCTAACAGGGAAATAAATCATATATGGTCACTTAAGTAAGACTGTGTTTTCCAAAAGGATTTTTTTTTTCTTGTCAAACATTATTTTGGAAATTTCAAAAACACCATATTTGAGCAAGGTCTCATACAGGGAAAAATGTTTTTCTTTTCATCTTTCAGTGAAATCTGGGACCAAAGTAATCAAATTATAACAACTGCTCTTTGGCTTTCATGCAAAAATTTAGAAATTTTTTCCAAAAACTAAATGTGAAAGCTAGAGCCGGCATACATTATTCAAGTTGATTTCTGGTTCCCCGGAGATAGTTTACAAGGTAATTATGTGTGTTTTTCTGTGCACAAAACGTTACTATTTAAAAATAGTCAACTTCTGCTACTAGCCAACAGAGACTGGATTTCTCTTCCCACTTAAAACAACTATAACAACGGTTTCATATAACATTTTATAACGCTGGACATCAGGCAACAAGGAACAGTGAACCCCGAGACATGGGAAGCAAAGAAGGTGAGACCTATAACTGCCCCAGCTTACTGCCTTGAGAGTTTCTAGACCCCAGATCAAGACAGAACCCAAATGGAGCCTAGCAAACTCTTGGAGTTGAAGAGACAGAGCTGGGAATCATGGGAGGCCAAGCAGCTAGAGACCACAGTACAGGGTGCTGAAGAGCTGCACAGAGGGACAGTTCCAGAGATCTACAGAAGGTCCCCTGCAGAGTGTTGAGCAGAGAACTGAACAGCGTTTGCATGTGAGGAAACTACACAAGGCTGAGGAATCACTCAGAAGGATCTGGGGGAATAGTCCCTAAAGCTCACAGGGCCTGTTCCCATCAGCTAGACTGGAAAGTCTCACAATTCTTGGGGCATTGAATTCAGTACTCAGTGAGTATTAATGAGTCTTGCCTCATTAGTGGGACATAATTAGATCTAAACTAAATACTGCTCTAGTTCTGCCTAATAAACCTTAAAAACAACAAAAATGCAAAAGGATCAAACTGTTTCCAAGAAACTATATTCCAGAACAAAGCTCAAGAATATTTATAGTAATATGGAAATATCCAATACCCAATAAGGTAAAATTAACAAAGTCTGGCATCCAATTGAGAACTACCAAACACACAAAGCAGCAGCAGAAAAATATAACCTATAATAAAGAAAAACAAATCAATTAAAACAATCCGGGACTGACACAGTATACTAGAATGAGCAGAAAAGAAAATCAAAAGCTATTATAACTATAGTTACAAAAACTAGAGGAAAGATCAAAGATATTAAGTAGAGACACAGAAGATAATAAAAACTCAAACTTCCAGAAATAAAAACTAAAACATCTGAAGTAAAAAACAAAACAAAAACTAAAAAGGATTAATGGCAAGTTAGAATGTTAGACACTGCAGAAAAAAAGATTAGTGAATTTGAAAAGATACAGCAATATTAACTATCCAAAATAAAACAGGGAAAAAGACTAAAAGAATAAAAAAATAAGAAAAATAAGTAAGCCCATATAGGGTAACTGTAATCCCAAGAGAGGAAAAGAGGTCAGAAACAAAAATCTCAAAAAATATTGGCTGAAAAATTTTCAAATTTAAGGACACTATAAATCTAAATATCCAAGAAGCTCAAAAAACCCCAAGCACAAGACACATGAAAAAACTAGTCTAAAGCACATCATAAAGTTCTCAAAATCAGTGAAAAGAAAAAAAGTCCTTAAAAGCAGAGGGAAAAAATGTGCATTTCCTACAGAGGAAAAAAGATAAGGGTGACTGATTTCATAAGAAACAATGTAAGCAAGATGAGAATGGAGCAAATTATTAATGTACTGGAAGAAAAAACACTCTCAGTCTAGAATTCTGAGTCAGAAAAAATCTGAAAAATGATGCTCAGACATTGAGCAAATCCTATTGAATCGCCAAAAAACAAACAAAAATTCCAGAACTAATGAATAAGTTTCAGTAAGGTTTCAGGATAAAAGCATGATACACAAAAATCTATTGTGTTTCTATATATTAGCAACAATCATAAATTAAGATTTAAAAATACCATTTAAGATAGCATAAAAATATGAACTACTTGGGGATAAATCTGTCAAAGATATACAAAACTGAAAACTACAAATATTGCTGGGAAAAATTAAAGAAGACCTAAATAAATGGGAAAAATATACTGTGTGTGTGTATAGGAAGACTCAATATTGTTAGAAAATCTACTCTCCTCAAATCGATATATTTATTCAACACAATCCTAATCAAAACTTTTGTAGGCTTTTTTGCAGGCATTGATGAGCTGATTCTAAAATTCATATTGAAATGTAAAAGACCTAGAACAGCCAAAATGACTTTGAAAAATAACAAAGTTGGAAGACTGACACTTCCTGTTTTTACGTCTTTTTACAAAGCTACATTAATTAAGGTAGTATGATATTGGTGTAAATAAGGCAAATAGGTCACTGGAATTGAAGAGACCTGAAAGAGACCCACATTTTCAACAACGGTGCAGTAAACAATTAGTGAAGAAAAGATAGGCTTTCAACAAATTGTGCTGGAACAACTGGATAGCCACGTGCAAAAAAAAAAAAAAAAAAAAAGATCTGATTCACACCTCCTATCGTATAAAAAATTAATTCAAAATGGATCTTAGCTCTAAATTTAAAACCAAATAATAAAAATTATAAAACTTTTGTGAAAAAAAGGCAGGAAAAAACCTTTGTGACTTTGGGTTAGGAAAATATTCCTTAGATAAGACAATAAAATCACTATCTACAAATCAGATGGATAAATCAGATCTTATCAAAATTAAAAAACCGTATTCTTTGAAAGACAGTCTTAAGAGAATGAAGACAAGTCACAGAGTGGGAGAAAATATTTGCAAATCATATGTTTGATAATGGATATATATCCAGAATATATAAAGAACTTTCAAAACTTAGTAATATGAAAAAATCCAGTAAAGAAATGGGCAAAGGTATGACCAGACACTTCACCAAGGAAGACATACAGATGGTAAATTAGCATATGAAAAGATGCTCACCATCTTCAATTAGTAGGGAAATGCAAATTAAAACCACAGTGAGACATCATTACACACCTATTATAATGGTTAAAATTAAAAAGACTGTCCATACCAAGTACTGGCAAGGAAGTGGAGCAACTGGAACTCTCATATGCTGCTGGTGGGAGTGTACAATGTAATAACTGCTTTAGAAAATAGTTGCCAGTTTCTTAAAAAATTAAACACATACCTATCATATGATCTAGCCATTCCACTTCTAGGTATTTACCCAAGTGGAAAAAAAAACCCAAAAATATATCCATAAAAAGATTTGTACATGAATGTATATAGTAGCGTTATTTGTAATTGCTAAAAATTAGAAATGATCTAATGTTCATTAACAGGTGAAAGGATAAACAAGCTGTGTTGTGTATTCACATAGTAGATATTATTCAGTAATAAAAAAATGAACTACTGGGCCGGGCTTGGTGATTTAGCCTATAATCCCAGCACTTTGGGAGGCTGAGGCGAGTGGATTGCCTGAGCCTGTGAGTTTGAGACCAGCCTGGGCAACTTGGTGAGACCTCGTCTCTACAAAAAACAAAACAAAACAAACAAACAAAAAAACTACTGTTACATGCTAACCTGGATAAATCTCAAGATAATTAGATTGAATGAATGAAAGAAGTAAAAAAAGTATATAATTCCATTTATAAAAATTCTAGAAAATCCAAGCTATTTTATAGTGATTGAAAGCATATTAGTAGTTGCCTGGGGACCAGAGCAAACGGATAGGAAGGTGGCTTTACAATGAAGCACAATGCAACTTTTAGGGGTCATGGAATTGTTCATTATCTTGCTTGTAATAATGGTTTTTATGGGTATGTACATATGTCAAAACATATCAAATTATATTTTAAATACATGTAGTTTATTGTGTGTCTTTTACAAGTTCTCCTAAATCCTCAACTCTTATTTTGTAAAATGATGAGCTTGACAAACTGATCTCTAAAGTTCCCTCAGGTCCAATATTCAAGAATTTATTTCTTCTAAGCACATATACAGAATAAAGCAGAAAATAGGAGAAAAAAGGTAAATGTTTGATTCTAGACTCAAGTCAGGCACAGATATCCTTACAGTGGAAAAAAAAGTATCAAAGCTACATCTCCACATTTAATAAACTTTAGGTATAAAAATAAAAATATTTTTAACCAGTAGGAGGTCTGTCACAAAATTCAATGTACTAAAGAATAAAATCTCTCATACTTAACTACAATGTTTTTGTACTTTTCAAAGTTCACTCATATACAGTATTCTATACACGATCTGATCTTTGTCTCGCTCACAGGGGCAGTAGATAACTTACCATTTATCAATACACTTCTGACAAAAGCTGTGAGCACAAGGCAGGATGAGGTCAGCTCGTCCATCCATACAGATACAACACTCCTCCTCGTCAGTCAGCTGCTTCACCCTGCAACGTGAACACTGAACTGAAACAATGATATTCTCTGTCATCACAACTTATATTTTGTCTTCATTGGTTTTAAAATCATTATTAAACATCTATGTGTCCATAGTATAAAGCACACTATGACTTGAGCAAAATTAGACTAAAATTAACATATCTTTTAGGGATAGAAATATATTAAGGAAGACGTATTAAGAGAAGTACATTTCATAAAGAAAAACTAGACAAAAGATAAATTTTGTGATGGTTAAGGAAAAAGAAAATATGGGCAAACACTGGAGGTATTCTTTCTGAAAACAATTCAGCCCATTTTAATGACACTGGATTTATATAAACAAATTCAACCAATATGTAGTCACTGCATCATTTAACAATGGGGATACAGTCTGATAAATGTGTCATTAGGTGATTTTGTTGTTGTGCAAACATCCTAGCGTGTACTTACACAAACCTAGATGGTGCAGCCTACTCCACACCTGGGCTACATGGTATACCCATTGTTCCTGGACCACATACCTGTACAGTATGTTACTGTACTGAATACCGTAGGAAATTGTAACACAGTAGGAAGTATATGTATATATAAACATATCTGAACATAGAAAAGGTACCACAAAATATGGTATGAAAGATAAAAAGTGGTATTCACTTACGGTGAATGGAGCATGTTGGCCTTCAAATTGCTCTGGGTGAGTCAGCGAGCGAGTGGTGAGTGAATGTGAAGGCCTAGGACATTAGTGTAACACTACTGTACAGTTTAGTAACACTGTAAACTTAAGCTATATTAAACTTACAAAAAATGTTTTTCTTTCTTTAGTAATAAATTAACCTTAACTTACTGTAACTTTTTTACTTTAAAAACTGAAAAATTTTCAACTCTTTTGTAGTAAGACTTAGTTTGAAATACAAACATTACACAGCTGTACAAAAATATTTTTCTTATATCCTTATTCAATAAGCTTTTTTCCAATTTTAAGGCTTTTAGTTTTTTTATTTTTCAAACTTTTTGGTAAAAACTAAGACACAAACACACACACAGTAGCCTAGGCCTACACAGGGTCAAAATCATTAATATCACTGCCTTCTACCGTCACATAATAACATGCATGGAGTTGTCATTTCCTTTGATAACAATGCCTTCTCCTGGAATACCTTTTGAAGGGCCTATTTGGGGCTGTTTTACAGTTATCTTTTTTTTTTTTTTAAATAAGTAGACGTATTCTCCAAAATGATAAAAGAATAGCATAGTAAATACATAAACTAATAGCACAATCGTTTATTATCATTGCCAAGTACTGTCACTGTACATAACTTATATGCTATGCTTTTATACAACCAGCAGCACAGTAAGCTCGTTTGTACCAGCATCACCACAGGCACATGGGTAATGTGGCGAGCAACATTAGGGAGGCCATGATATCACTAGGTGATAGGAATTTTTCAGTTCCATTATGCTACGGGACCACCATCATGTATGCAGTCTGTCATTGACCAAATCATATGTGATGCATGACTGTATAGTTTATTCACCATGCAGGATACAAAGCTCTCTAAACCATGGACCCTGCCACAAGAGCCTTACAGTGCTGATGCTGGTAACGGGCACATAAGTGAAAGAATAGCTTGGTCTTAGGTATCAGATGCTATGAGAAACTCAAAGAAGATAGAAAGCAGTTTCCATCCTCTAGGTGCTCCTTCATCTTCTTAAGAAAAAGATGTAAAACCTTTTACTCCAGCTACACTCTAGACTGCCCCTCAACGAACCTTTGCACATGGTGTTATCCTTTCCTGAAAGTGTTGTGAGTTTAGTAAACTCCAACCCTCAGTAACTCAGTTCAAAATATCATCTTCTCTCTGCTCTCAAAATCAACATTTGCCTCAAAGAAAGGACTTAAATATTGCATATAAACTGGCTGTTGATTGGTTGGTCTTTCTATAAGCTGTAAGCTCTTTGAATCTAGGGTGTTTGTTTTAGATTCTCAAAGTTTCTTGAAGTGATTTTAATCGATCCCTGTGCTTTTCTGTAGCTTTTAAACGTTTTCTTCATCAAACATGTATTACTTTTGTAATTATACAAAAACTGAATGTTTTAAAGTATAGCAAGAAGTATAGACTAGAAGTATAGACTAGAAGCTTCTTAAGGGTAGGAGCTATCACTAACATGGTTTTCATTCCCTGCTGTGCTTATAGCACTGTATGTAAGATGCTGAAATAGCACTTAAAATTGTGTTGACTTGAACATTAAACAGTACAAATGATTATCAAACGTGTGTTACATTTAGTAAGTGCTAAGTAAAGAAGGAAGAGATGAGTATATTTCAAACTTGCTGAAAATAAGAAAATAAAGGAATTTTGATAGAGGACATTGTAGGTGCATAAACAAAGCAGTGGGAGCGGAAAGTAAAAATGTGTGTGCGTGCATGTACATGTGTATGTAACAAGGAGCCTGGTCTGATGCCCCAGGGGAAAGTTGAGAGAAAAGATTGATTAAATATAGCAGAGATACTCTGATCCTTCAGTGTCAAAACACCACATTTGAATGTGTTCTGACAAGTGAACTAGATTCAGTGTTTAATCAAGGGAAAGTGAACTCCCACTGAAAGTGCTTTAGGAAGATTAACTGGAGTGCAGCATGAGAGACAGTCCAGAGAGAGGAAAGCCAGTTAGGACCTTATTTAAGCAATCTGCTTGGAACATAATTAGAGCCTGGTCTAAGGAGCATTATGAAAGACAAATTATTGGAATGTGATAATGAATATTGTGCTTCAAAATAGGGAAAAGGCAGTCACTGAATTGAAATGCGGAAACAATGAAAACCTAGATGGATGTGGATCTCATATTTCTGACTGTGTATATATGTCTCTATAGCTATTCAGTTCAATATTTAAGTGTCTTTTAGGTCTGGACCAGATCCAGAAGATTAAGAGTCTCTGCTTTTGAGGAGCTTACAATCTATCTAACAATGTTGACTTGGGTGTCAGTAGCAGAGAGAATATAACTGCACCCACATCAAGTGACACAATGTTCTGAAGGTTAGAGTTTAAAACAGAAGCAGATGGCTATAAAGAACAGCATTGTGGATAGAGATAAAAGAACAGGAGACACAGAAATAGCCAGTGAAACCAGTACAATGTTCACTTGATTTTTAGCTACCTTCCTAGGAGCCCAGTGACCAGAAGAAGGAAGGAGAATCTTGCTCTATTTGTGCCTGTTAGATCACTTGCAGACTGAAGTATTCAGTTCTGTGCCTCATACTGGAAAGGCATACTGACAGATAAAGGATCATCCAGGAAAGCTTCCAGAATGTAGAAGAAACCCAAAGGAACTGGGTATGCTTATCCTTGAGAACAGAAGGCTCATTGAGAATGTGATTATTGTTTTCAAATGTTTGAAGGGCTAGAAGAGAGATTTGTTTGGTGGAATTCCAGAGGCCACAGCCACTGAAAGCAAGAAGCAGAAAACAGTAACAATTTAATAATAATGATAATTAACTATTAGAGACAAATGATTATGTGCCAGGCACTATTCTAAGCACTTTACATCTTTTAATTCTGAACAGTCCTAGGAGGCAGATACTATAGTTACCAAAATCACACATTTAGGAGTAGAGTCAGAATTTGAACACAGGCAATTTGGTTCTGGAGTCTGTGCTGTGCTGCCTCCAGAAAGGCAGATTTTGGCTACTCTGGGGAATATAAAGTAAAAGGAAAAACTTCATAGTGATTAGAGCCATTTGAGTATGAAAAGGCTTGCTCTCCTGAGGCAATGAGTCTCACACAACTGCAGGTGTTACTTGTACTTGCAAGTTGGACTACCACTTGGCAAAATGTGGTTCAGTAGAGTCTTCTGTTCAGTGTTGTCTAAGGATCAGCAGCATTGACCCCACCTGGGAGCTTGAGAGACTCTCAAAAACTCCTCCTCAAAACCACTGAATATTAAAATTTGAGAAGCACTGTACCACAAGATCTTTATGCACCAGAAAGTAATAATGTAGAGGTCAGAGCATTGCTATATTGCTAGACAGACCTCAATGTGAGTCTCAGCTAGGAATTTCTTTCTTTTTTTTTTTTTGAGTTGGAGTCTCACTCTGTCGCCCAGGCTGGAGTGCAGTGGCACACTTGTGGGTACTGCAGCCTTGACCTGCTGGGCTTAGGTGATCCTTCCATCTCAGCCTTCCTAGTAGCTGGAACTACAGGTATGCGTCACCATGTTTGGCTAATTTTTATTTATTTAGTGTAGAGATGAGGTCTCACCAAATTTCCCAGGCTGGTTTCGACCCCCTGGGCTCATGCAATCCTCTTGCCTCCACCTCCAAAGGTGCTGGGATTATAGGCGTGACAGCTAGTTAGGATAATTTCTAATCATGACACTTATTTGGCTAAACCTCAGTTTCTTCATCTGAAATGGGCCAATACTTGTACTCTTATGGGCTTGTGAGGATTTAATAAGTTTATACATATACAACACATATCCTATAAGTAGTCAATAAATGTAAAACATTAATAAAGTTATGTGTCAGATGTAGAGCTGAACTACATAAATATCCCTTTAAACCCCCTTCAACTTGCACCATCTTTTTCTGTGAACAAATGTATCAGGGTATCACTTTAATCCCAAAACACACAAAGACAAGAAGCAGCCCTAACAAAGCAATGAGGCATTGAGTTTCCAGTCTTGAGAACACATGTAAAGGGATAACACCTTTATCTTCTTCATTAAGAAGGCTGCAATAAGAAAAACTATTACTTTCTTTTCATGTGCTACCATATAACTTTGGAAAAGAAAGAGGGAAAAAAAAGCAGAAAATCAGTCTCCTTTCTTTGAAAGATTAATTTTACAAAATACAGGAAAGACAAGCCTAAAAACACTGCCTACAATGTTCTAGAAGTCATTTGGCATGTCAATAACACTTGCATAGCCCAAACTTTGAAAAACAAATAATTCTTAAATATTAAATTATTTAATATTTCTATTAATGATAAATGGAAAACACAGTTTAGCTATAACATCGTACTTGAAAACCAGTTGGCTAAGAATGGACCAGAAAATGCAACTGTAAACAGAGCAGTAAAGGAGAAATTGTTGTTAAGCAAACTCCTAACTTTAAGGTAAAGGGGACTGTCAATTCAGAATTCTGCTGTCTACCTAATGTGACAATAAGACAGGATGTCAACATGTCTGAACCCACGTAGGTCTTTTTCCAATGAGACATATTACAGATTTAAATTATGATCATGATTGTCAAACAGCAACAGGTGGGGGCTTTCACTTGCCAAAAGTGTAATAGGGAAGGAAAAGAAAGTTTAGATAGAACAATATTAGGCCTGAGTAAACAAGCACAATCACAGAAAACTCTGGCTGACTTCATTTCCTTCTGGTAACTCAGTGTATGCATTCAGTTCATTCCTGAATGAACTGCCAAGTACTGAAGCCAATATTTTAAAATTTAATGCTCCAATTAGGAACTTTAAAGAAAACCTGTAATGATTTTGCCAAAATCATTCTTGGACCCAATTCCCCAAGGGTGTTGACTATCTAAGAACCTAACTACCTATTATGGGGGGGGGGGCATTAACTTTGTCATTAAATGCAAGCATACAGAGTGGAGAAAAATTCCTGGAGACTGGTTTGACAGAAACATTGACTGGTATGAGCCACTTTAACTTACCTTTAATTTAATAACAATGTCTAAAGCACAGAATAACCCAAATATCTTAGACAGAACACCAAGTGAGACAAAAAGATTTAAGTCGTCACAATGAGCACTAGCAAAAATATTAATAGGATTTCAGTGGCTTGCATACAGGAAAATGATAATTATGCATTGTGTACCTTCCCATCCACAAGCTAGCCTGACAAGATGTTACAGAGGATGAGTTTTCATCAGGTTCTTCAGAGGTGGAGCTCTGTGCTAAGACTCCTGCTGCTTGACTTGTGATATCTTTATACAGTTGAATAAACTGATACAAATTCATGATTCTTGATGCTTCCACAATGCCACTGCTTTTGTTAATCTAAAAATACAAAGAAAATAAAAACAAGAAAAGTTGATCATTTTTCTTGACCAATTTTTCCAAAAAAGAGGGGGCAAATATTTAATCAAACATCCCAGGAAATAGAAATTTTCAAGGTTTGCAAATCACCTAAGAAAGCAAGAGTCTGAATAAAGAAATAGTACATCCTCTACATTGGTGGGGTTTCAAAGTACTTATGCAAACTTATCTTATTTGGTACACAAAATAGCTCTATAAATCGATTAGGAAATATCTTATTTAGAGTTGATGGAATTAGGTAAGTTTTTGAGTTAAGAAATAAATTATAAAGACAGTATTAACAATTCTTTCACTTTAATTTCTTAAAGGCTTCATTCGAATCCAACAACCACATGCAATTCTATTACGACTGAAACAAGTGCCTTCTTGAATATCTTTAAGTTCTATTTTGTATCTAAACTTCTAAACTAAAGCAAGAAAATTACATTACAGTAAATCCTAACAAAAAATGGTTGAAATTTTTCCCCAAAGGCCATTTTGAGCTTTAGCAAAATCTCATTTAATATGAAGTAGAACCAGTGGCCTATAGGTTGTACCTCTCCTCCCTCCCATTTACAATCTAATGTAGAAGATATTTGGGGCAAGAACAGGAGATTGCTTTCATAAGGGTTTAGAGAGTCATAGAGTGAGGCATATATTCTTTTTAGAAATGATAGAGGCCAGCAGGGTAAGGGTGCAATACTCGTGGATGAATAACTTGAAGTAATCAGAGAAAGATTAGAGATGTGAAAGACTTCCTTTAAGCACAGGAGACAGGATGGAAGTAAGCTATGAAATCTATCAAGTGCATATCAAAGTAAATGGAACAAACAAAATCAGAAAATATTCAGAAAGAAATGAAGAATGTAGGGAGAGATATCAAGCTTAGGCTGGGTGTGGTGGCTCATGCCTGTAATCCCAGCATTTTGGGAGGCTGAGGCTGGAGAATCACTTGAGTACAAGAGTTTGAGGCCAGCCTGGACAACATAGTAAGATCCCATCGCTACAAATTTTTTTTAAAAAAATTAGCTGGGTGTGGTGGTGTAACACTTGTAGTCCCAGCTTCTTGGGAGGCTGAGGCAGGAGCATTGCTTGATCCCAGGAGGTTGAGGCTGCAATGTGCTATGGTTGCACCACTGCACTCTAGTCTGAGAGACAAAGTCTCACTATATGTCAATAATAACAACACCAACAAAATAAATATAGCTGGCCTTAAAATTGTGCCTTAAGTTAGATCTGAAATGTGTTGATGGAACTAGGAATATGAGAAAGTGCTGTGGTAAGGTTACATGTTAAAAAACATTATTATAGCCACATTTGAATGAAAATAACACTAGTTTTAACATTTATTGTTTACTATTTTAGAAGACAGTGAAAAAAAATACCAAGACTCAAGAATGAGTCTGATTCCAAACTGTGAAATTTTAGAACTATCTCTAATAATCAGAAAGTTGATTAAATTTTCTTTGATCTTACCATGTGAAGATGCAAATATACTAGGTTTTTTGTAATGAACCTGTATATGAGGTAGAGAACAAATAAATACAACTAAAAGGTGACAAGAATTTATAGAGGTTACAAAACAGACCTTCAGAGCAGAGGAAAGTGGGCCAGTCCTCCTTTGGAAATGCAGAGTACAGAAGAAATTAAGGAATAATTCATATATGCTTACTACTGTAATAGAAAAGTTTATCACACTGAAGCTATTCTAATCATAGGATTCCTACAACAAATATCTATTAAGTAGCCATCATGTGGATGTTATAGGTACTATGTGCATTACTCCAGGCACTAGTGACATAGTGTGTCTGGAACAAAAATCCTAGCCCTCATGCAAATTACCTTATAGGCAGGAGAAATAGACAAAATAAGATGAAACAAGTATTATGGAGAAGATGAAAGAGAAGAGGGAACCCTGAGGGGTTGCAGGAAGGCCTCACAGAGAAGGTGACATTTAAGAACTGAAAGAGGTACAGACATTTGGGGGGAAGACCATTCCAGGCCCAGAATAGGAAGTGCAAAGGTTGTTAGGTAGATGTGTTCCTGGCAAGGAGATGTGAAAGACTTCCTTTAAGCACAGGAGACAGGATGGAAGTAAGCTATGAAATCTATCAAGTGCATGTCAAAGCAAAATCTCAATTAATATGAAGTAGAGCCAGTGGCCTATAGGTTGTACCTCTCCTCCCTCCCATTTACAATCTAATGTAGAAGATATTTGAGGCAAGAACAGGAGATTGCTTTCATAAGGGTTTGGAGAGTCATAGAGTGAGGCATATATTCTTTTTTGAAATGATAGAGGCCAGCAGGGTAAGGGTGCAATACTCATGGATGAAGAACTTGAAGGAGTCTGGCAAGATGCCCAGAGTGGCTGGAAAAGAATGAAAGAGGGAGAAGTAGTAGAAGATAAGGTTAGAGGGTGAGGTGGGGGCAGAATACACAGGACTTTTCTCTTCACATTAATAACCACAGTTTTTATTCTAAGTGCATGGGAAGTCACTGGAGGGTTTTGAGCCAAGGAGTAATATGATCTCATTTACATGTCAAATCTCTATGTGGAAAAGACTGGTTGTTGTGCTGAGAATAGACAGAAGGGGGGCAACAGCAGAAGCAGAATAATACTGGGGAGAGATGAAGGTTGCTAGGAATTGAGTGGTGAGTAGTACAGATGGTGAGAACTAGCCAGATTCTGATTTTCAGGTAGGATTCACTTACAGATTGACTGTGAGGTATGAGAGGAAAAGGAAAAATCAAGAATGACTCCAAAGTTTTAGTCTAAGTAACAAGAAGGATGAAATAATATATGAAGTTTTTAATAGCCTCCTTAGTGCACAGTTTTTAATTAACTTCTTATTTTTTCTAATATTATTCCCGTAAAATATTCCCTCTAAACATAATTTAGATTTTTATAATGGGTTAAATATTATTTGAGGATAATCATAGCAGATGGCAGATAGTCAAGGTAAGGACTTAATATAAATACAGAAGGTTGCAGTACAAATCTTATTTACATATTTAAGATAAAGAAATATGAAACTTTCAATCTCTTATCAGTTTTTCATATTGGACTTCAACATTTTCTTTCTAACATAAACACTGACTCTCAGATTATTCCGGAAAGAACCTAAGGAATGCAAATTTTAAAAATTGCCTTAGAGTTGATATAAAATCAAGAAAAATCACATAAAAGAAAGATCTAACTGCCTTTGTCTTTAATACTTTTGTTTTTGTACTTAGAATCTAATTTTAAGAAAGATGTTAAACTAATCATATACAGATGTAATGATTACAGATTTTGAAGCAAAAAGGAATTTTACTAATAATAAAATTAAACATTAATTCTGGGTTTGTCAAAGAAGAGCAATTTAATTATGAAGTACAAATAAGGTGCTGTTAGAATTGGAAGAGGCAAGGGAATTCCTATTCAGGAAGATTTTATTGATGAGATGGTATTTGTAGTGGACCTTTAAAGAGACATCAAGTTTAGACATGCAGAAATAAAAGCTGTGGTAAAAATTATTGGCTGAATATCCAAATACCATTCCTACTTTTCACTGCTGGCAGAACTTGATTTTGTTTTGGTGTCCTCCACTCCTTGAAGTGATTCAGCAGTCAATACTGGTTAGCCTAATCTAAACTAATCATGGTAATCACATTTCTTCTGCCAGTGTAGGGATAAGAAGGGGATATGGCCTAATATTGGCCCATGAGTTCAGAATTGAGATCTACTGGGTTTTTAAATTAATCAATCCTGGAGCTAGGATTTCTTGATAAGTGAGAAAATAAGTACTGTTTTTATTTAAACCGGCTTAAAAGGAGTTTTCTGTGACTTGTAGCTGATGGCAATTTAAATAACAGAAGGAAGGGGAATTCTAGTTGAGGGAACTCACAGAGGCACTGAGGTGGACAAGTAACAATATACAGTCTTTATTAGTTATACCTGGTGAGAATATAGAGAGCAAAAGAGGGTAATTGTGAATAAAATAGAAAAGGTAGTTTGGAGCCATACTGTAGAGGGCCTTGAATGTCACAATAAGGAGTTGGGACTATCTTATCAGCAAAAAGAAATTGTTGAGGAGTTTTAAGCAGGGCAGTGATCTGATGAGAGTTGTGCTTTAGAAGGGCTAACCTCACAGCAACATAAATTAAAATATGCAGGAGAAGAGTCTGGAGATAAAGAGATTAATACAGAAGCTGTGGCAATCTGGGTCAGAAGAGAGAGGAGGCTTGATAATTACAGTCTACTTGAGGGCATGGAATTTTTCTTATTTATCATATACTCCTAGTATCTGGATAACTGTGCTCAAATGTTTATTTGGATAAAATGCAAGTGGAACATAGTACAGGTAAAACTGATAATCTACTGAGGAAATGTGGCATATTATCTGGCTAATGCTCCAGGTCTGTGACTCAAAGGAAAAATCTCCTAACCCAGGGGTTCTTTATGGGTTGGTCAGGAGTAGACTTGAGGGCATTCATGAATGCCCAATTTATGCTTTATATGCAAATAGATGTGTTTTTTTTTTGAGTTGAAGTCTCCCTCCTTCACCCAGGCTGGAGTGCAGTGGCACACATGCTCACGGCCACCCCAGCACCGACCTGTTGGGCTCTGGCGATCCGTCCGCCTTAGCCTTCCAAGTAGCTGGAACTACAGGCGTGTGCTACCACACCTGGCTATTTTTTATTTTATTGTGAGGACAGGGTCTTGCCAAGTTGCTGGGGCTGGTCTAGAACCCACGGGCTCAGGCAATCCACTTGCCTTGCCTTCCCAAAGTGCTGGGATTATAGGCTGAGCCACTGAGCCTGGTCCAAATGGATGCTTTTGTTGTTTTAGAGCAGGGGTTGGGATAGGAGAATACCTAATAAAATTCATGTCTTCATTTTCATCAAAAGGTCTGTAGCCTCAAAAAGGTTAAGAACTGTCTATTCTAATCCACTCAATAGTGGTTGAGGCTTTCTCATAATCTATGACAGCTGCTATTGCATTTTTAGCACAGTTGATATATCCAATGATCTAAAATGTAAAGATGTACTTAGAAACACAGTGTGTTGATGGTGAAAAACCCATTCCATAACTAAAAATTACTAAAAAAATAAAGAAACCCTTTGTAATGGATGTTTTTCAATGAATGAAACTCAATGTTCTTAAAAGAAATGATCTCCTGAGATAACATTAATTTTTAAGGTGTAATCATAGAGCTAAAAAAGGTGTCTCCTTAGGACTCCATAGTCAGCTTGAAACCCCAAAAATAGAGATAGGAGCTAAGTATGATATAGTGGTTAGGGATACTGAGTCAAAAAAAATTTAAATATAAAAACCTCTGCTATATAACAATTAGACAACAGGTAAGATTCCAACAGTTAGCTGGAAAACAATAACAGTATCAAAACTACGTTTGACAAAATTACCAAATTATTAACACTTGGTATTAACAATGCTAATTAAATTATAAGCATTTAATATCCACTCTATGAAATATGGTTCTAACCACCAAAATAGTTTAAGCTCAGAGTTGTAGGTCTCCATCAGTCTCACCTTGGTGCAGACCACCCGAACAACCACTTTCCAAAAGGCAGAGGAGTCAGACCCAGGTTGCACCTCAAAGAGAAGATGTTTTTCCTGGCCAGCAGCCACTTTAGCAGTTCTGAAAAGAGACACATGCATATGTTAATTTTATAAAAAGTCATATAAAATAATAGAGCCATGAAAATAAATTCAAGAAATATTTTCAGAGAAGGAAATATAAAGAAAATACATAAAATGAAATGATAATAACTGTAAAACTTGATTCTTAAAACACACGGATAAAGAATGTTTTGGACATCAACATACAAGTTAATTTCTAGGGTTTTTAATGTCGATGGCTTAGTGGAGTGATATTTATAAATTTCTTTTTACTGTATTTACATCTCAATTGTCTTTAAATTTCTAACAAAGTTATTTAGGAAAAACAAATCTGAGAAATTAGGTACTTTAGAAAAAAGGTTAGCTAGTTTAACATATCCAAATTCTAGTCACTGCTTCAGATGTATACAAAACATGAAAAAATCTTACTCTTGGTTGAGTCCCTGTTTAAACAACATTTATATACCCCTTTGCAAATTTTTGCTTTATAGATAATTTAGGACTGAATCAAGTAAAACAAATGACCTGTGACACTTTAAATATAGCTCTACTATCCTCTGCTACCAGAGTAATTTTAATTTAGAAAGCCACAGGATTCCGACATAAAAATATAACTTTTAGAATTCAATATCATGCTATCAATACCAATTTAAATCAGTTCAAAGACATTCTTAAGTATTACAGTTCTCCTTTATCACTACTAACATTTCTCTCTAAGCACCAGTGGGGATATTATACTCAACTAAGTGACTTACAGCTAAATAAAATGAGGCCATCAAAAATTAAGCAACTAGCCTTAGGAAACTCCCAGTGAAAATAATTCAGCTGTGTCAGTTTCCAGTTCTGTTTTCTAACTACCAAGGCATGCTACTTCTATATAGGTTTAACTTTACATTCTCAGAGAGCACTGTACTTATAAAACGCCCAACTCTGACCCATGGTAATTGGCTTTAAGAACCAAATTCAATCAGAGTGTCCTCTGCTAAATAAATAAAAGGAAGATATTCTTTATCATCAACTCCGTAGTACGCATTAAGCTTAGCTCGTGGACAGTATTCTAGGGCACATTTTATTCAATACCTGTATTTTTAGGCTAAAAGGCAAAATTTTAAATGATAGACTGGGTTTATAAATTCCAAGACTTTAAAAGAATGGTAAATGTCCTTGATTACTCTTCATAAGAGTGGAAATCATAAACATGAAAAGCATTCCACTCTAATGATACTACTAAATTCACAATTCCCCTATTTTATTCTTTAAGAATATGGTCCCAGAAGTAATGCTTCAAACACTACCATTTGGATGATTCAAAAAAATAAAATGCTAGTGTTTTTAAAGCCCATAAAGACGTTTTTATCATAAAAGATCAGACAATACCTAAATACACACAGTAAGATGTAAAATCCCTCTTTTGCTCTCTTTTCCCACCATCTCCCAACCCAGAGGCAAGCCCTAGGAATAGTTTAGTGTTGTATCTTTCTAGTTCATTTTCTGTATATTTACACATACACACACACACATATGTCCATACAGGTTTTTTTTTTAATAAATGAAATTTCGTATTCTTGAAAGAAATAATCTATGTAACTTTAACAGTCTTTATTCTTCATGATTAGCTAATAACAATAGACTTCAGCCATGTCCTTAAAGACAATGTCTTAAACTTATCTAATGTATTTTAGATAGCCAAATATGTCTCCTCACCTAACGCTGCTGTCATAATGCCTATGGAGTGGCATTATGAAAGTGAGTTCATATATCTTACCTTAAGCAATTAATAATGACTACAATATTACAACAATCATAATATTATATTATTATATTATAAATGGTCCTGGCCTGTTAGGTGACTTTATCTTTTTTGGGTTTAAGGAAAAGTTATGTGAGATAGTGGGAAAAGCTTGAGACTCAGAGAAAGTTGGATCTGCCATTAATACTTGGGTAATCAATTTAGGGCTCAGTTAAAAGGTCCAACCCTCAGCAGAGTGCCTTGCACATTCTATGTGCTCAGATACTAAACAGAGAAACTTTAATATCTCATTTAAGAGACAACTCCAATAAGTTCTTAATTTATATATATCTTCTTTATACATATATACAGATATATGTACAGATATGTATAAAGGTAGATGTGGTTGCTGCCAGAGGGAGATTTCATAGAAAGAAATGAAATCTGCCCATCTGTCACTAGGAAGAAAACAAACGGCAAAAAAGTAGTATTTAAAGCACAGTGGTCTAGGGCCATTCAGGGACAAAGAACCCTGGGTATTTTAATGACTTCAATAAAAGTGACATAAAAATTGATATAATAATCAATTTACAAAGAAAAGGCTAAGTTCTATTAGGGATGCTCTCTCAGAAGACAGAGAAATTTATATTCCACCATAGAACTTTTTTCAAAAGAGTTAACTAGGAACTTACACTAATTAGAAAATATTAATATCGTATTTCTCAGTGATGAAAATGATCTATTACTAGATATGTATTTGTCTGGAAAAAAACAGTTCAGTAAACAAACACAGGAAATCTATATGTGTGTGTGTGTATGTATATATGAACTGGTTCATGTACAGAAACCTCAGTGTTGCCTTTGACTGTCCTAGGAATCTTTCTCTAGGCTGGCTTATTGGCATACTCCTTTGGTGCTTTCAAATAAGAGGCTATTTATAGTCGGTTGTATACAATTGCTGACATGTTGGGTTGCATTCATTGTACTTTAGAATTGCTTCAATATGCCTGTGCTCTGTGTTCTAAATTTCATTTCAAGTCCCTCCTGTCTCTTCTGTTTCCATTACATATTTTTAAAAAGCTACATAAAAAGTCTACTTACATTAGCCATCCAATAAATATTTGCTAACTGCTGCTGAAAACATTGTCTTACCACTCAATCCTCCGATTACCTCTAACATATCCATGACACACAGAGGGGGTAAGAAAAAGAAAAGAGCAAGTCTTACACGTCATTAAGCTCAGCTACTCTCCCAAGAAATTCTTCATAAGTTAAGGAGCCGCTTTCTCGAACCAATGTGACATGTTTTGCTACTTTTTCTGGTAACTTGTTAATAACCAACTGAGTTTGATCCGAAATTTGTTGTCCCATGATGAAATAATATCTTTCAAAATCCAGAAAGAGTGTTGTTTCACATAATTTCTGTGAAATATACATAAAAGTTACTTTTAAACATATTATAAAAATAGCAATATACGCATTCTTCAAGAAAAATAAAGAAAAATTTTAAGTGACATTTCATTACTTAAATGAGTTTAAGGTACAGTTTATTTAAATGACTTTATTTTTAAAGATATATATTTTTTTCTGATTCACATAGCTAATAAGAAAACAGGATTCATTTATATATTAGGAGAGTAATTAACCTCTAATTTCTATAATTTTCCCAAATCAAAAACCATTAAAATATACACATATACACACAAATAACACACAAAGGCACTCAAGTAATTGCTTTAATAGGAAGCTTAACTACCGTACATGGTTTTCCTAAGTGCATTTCCTGACTGCTTACCACAAGTTAGACTCCAACTGTTTTTCATATATTATGTCATTTATTTCTTACAACAATCCTAAAAGGTACACATTATTGCCCCTACATATTTTAGGTAGGAAATGGAACTGACTTATCTGAAGTTGTATAGTGAACTTTGAACTTGTGTTTTTCAGATTCTAGTGCTAACATTTTTAACCATTATGACATACTGACACATATCTGCTAAAAAAAAATTTTGTTGTTGAATTACTTTATTAATAAATGTGCAACTTATTTTCAACTTAAAAAAATATATAAACAGACTTGTGATTTGAAAAAACCTAAGAAAATTAAATTGTTAGATAACCTATTTCACATGCTTAGAAAAAGACAGTTCTTTTGTTCTTTAACTCCTTTGCATGTTTTAGGACTTAGGTAACTTGTTTTCTAAATATGAATATAGTTTGGTTAAAAGGCTGGATTGTTTTGGCCTGGTCCAACAAAGTGCCTGTAACCCTCGTGGAGTATTGCGTATGAGAGGCAATAAGCTGGAAGAAGAGATTTATTCTTTGTCATGCAAAGGGAGACAGAGTGAGCCTAATGCTTTGGAAACCACTGCCTCCCTGAACAAAGGAGCCAAAGGTATTTCTTAAAACAGGGTGAGTTTTAAGAAATCATTATCTAGGTTACCTGAGACCCGTTTAGTGTCCCTTATCTGGAGGTATCTGGTGGTCTTCAAAAGTAGGCTGGTGCTAGACAGTGTCAGGAAGGTGTGCCACTGGTTATTTTCTTTTTTTAAAAAATCCTAAATGGGTAGGTGATTAGCCTGGTTGATAAGGCTGGTCCTGCAATTAAGCTGAAGGTGTAAATAGAAAAGGGGGTAGGAGTATACTAAAGACAGAAAAAAGTGTGCAGTTTTAAATTCAGGCCACTTTTGTGGTTTTTCTTGAAATGAGTCCTCTATTACTAAACTTAACTAGTAAAGATACATAAAAATTATGGCTTTTCTGACCTGTAACAGGATTACTACTTTAATAATCTATATCAATACTGACCATTAATTTGTTAAACTGACTTTAAAATTGAATCACAAAACATTTAATTACCACTTACTCTAAAGTTTTGAGATAATTCTATGTACTGTAGCTACAGAAGAGTTGGATGTGTTTATTCTAGAAAGCTCTTTTTCTTTAGTAAATAAAAGTATACCAGAATAGCAAGCATTGAGAATCTGATTAAAATAGAAAACAAGCTAATTTTTTAGTACTTGCCTATGGCGACATATTCAATAACTGAATGTGAAAATCCCTATTTAATATGAATACTACTAATAATGATAGTAAAAGCAGCTAATATTTGTTGATCACTTCCACTATGTAACATATTCTCCCTAAACACTTTATATGTATTCACAAATCAATCATGGAAAACCCCATAACCATTTTATAGATGAAAGAAAAAATGGGATAGATGAGAAAATAGGCACAGAGAGGTTAAAGTAACTTGCCCAAAGTTATGTAGCTAATAGTTTTTTCCTCAGTTTTAAAAAATGAAGATTAAAAACAGAAAAATGTATTATAATTTGAATGAGAGGTTGATTAATGGGTATAAATAAATACTTGCATAGATAAAATAAGACACAGTTTGATAGATCAGCAGGGTGACTAGATTTAACATTAATTGATTGCACATTTCAAAATAGCTAGAAAAGAGTAATTTGAATGATCCTCGCATAAAGAAAAGATAAATATTTAAGGTGATGGATATTCTAATTACCCTGATTTTTATTATATGAATGTATTAAATTATCACCTGTACTGAAAATATATACATCTAATATATATCAAGAAAAAAAGCCCTCCAAAACCTGATCTCCCAAATTCTATTTTCTTTGCCCATCAAAGACTATCATTTTACTTCTCCCAAATTAACACCCATATCATATGAAGCAGGTAAAATAGTAATAATTTTATAAGAAAAGTTTTGGCAGGAAGATTATTTTATCATTTAATAAAGTTATAACTTTAAAATATATAACTCGTATACAAAGTTAATAACTATGAATATGTTAATATTGCTTTTTGGTATTAAGATATAATGTACTGTATTTGAGGTTTATTCTTTTAGTTATCTAAAGTATAGAAAATATACAATTATAGTAAAAAAAAGGAAAACTCAATCATTGTTTTGAATCCGAGCCTCCTTGGCAATAATAAATATCATATTACAGAGATAAATGAAAGAAAGTTGTTGAGGAAGATCCAGGCAACTAAAAAAAATATGAAGTCAAAATAACATATTTTAAATATAGTCAATGGATTTATGACAACTCTATTCAAAAATTAACAATTAAAGATCTTAGTTTAGCAAAGGTCTCTAGGGTATTCAATATCTGTGATTTCTAAATTTCAAAGACAAGTACAATCTCAAAGCACCATGTTGTTGCACACTTAATTTCAAGTAAGAACAGTTTCCAAATAAACAAAAAATCCTTAGGACTTAACAAAAATTTTAAAAAGAACAACTTATAATCTGAAAAGTAGGACATAATATTAGAACAAAAGTCTTTCCTAAGAAGGGCAGTAACTTCACGATGATGTATACTACACATATACATGTACACTGTACAATATCCTTATTTTTCTTGATCTAATCCAACTTGTAAAAACATCATCAGGAGCCAACACTTGCAGACCAGTGTTAGGGAGCCACTGTGTTTCATGGTCTTCTTAAAAATTAAATTTATCACATGCCTTATATTCTGGAGATATAACAATGAGCAAAAAAAGAAACATGGATCTTGTCACCATGGGGCATCCAATACAGTAGGGAAGAAACAGTAACCACACAAATAAATATATAATTACAAAAGAAGTGCTAAGCCAACACGTACAGGTGCTATGAAAGCCTATACAAGGGGGATTGGACTTAGTTTTGTATCAGGGAAGATTTCCCTGGGCAAACATTGTTTGACTTGAGATCAGAAGGATAGTCAGAGAGAAAAGAGGGATGGGGACAAAGTCGGAGGAGGACACTCCACGCAGAGGTTACATAAAGTGCCTGAGATAGGAAGGAACATGGTGTCTTCAAGGTAAAAAAAAAAAAAAAAGGTCAATGTGAATAAGGCAGAGAGGCAAATGGAAAGGGGACTTACACCAAGAGATGGGCTGTTTAACATGTATATTGGTGACCTGAAGACAAGACCGTATGCCTGCCCAATCTGTGGATAACCAAAGCTGGAATGAACACTACCTACTGAGTAACAGAATCAAGACTGAAACAGACAATGACTTGCTGAAGTGCATAAAGTATATTTCACATGACTAAAAATTAAATCCTGAATATGTTTTGAAAAGCAAACTACACAAAAACACACAGGTAAGACGTGCTTAAAAGCAGTTAGCATATAAAAGGTCTGGGATTTTTAATCAAAATAAGTCAACAGTATAATAGAGACAACAAATATGCTAAAAGAATCCTAAAGGCTTGCTAGAAGGAGACGTCCAGAGCAAGGAGCCTGCCAGTCCACACTGCAAGTCTGTATTCAGTTCTACACTAATAAATGAGAATGTTATGGGTCTAGAAAAGGAAACGGAGGCCATTGCTTTACTAGACTCTGGTGTGGCCATGTGCTCTTTGAACTGTGACCACTGCCATGTTTCCTAAGCTCCAGCCCCCTCCTCTACCTTGGAGAGGTAAAACACCCCCCCCAAATTAAATTTCCAAATAAACTATATTTTCCAATCTAAAAAACAAAGAAAAGGAAATGGAGACTTATTCCAGATAATTATAGTTTGGTAACAATGGAGTCACAAGATAAGTTTGTTCAAATATTTAAGGAGCTGTCATGTAGAAGAGGAAGTAAAATTCATTTACACAGAACACACTGGCCAATAAGTAGAAATTAGAAAGGCAGATTTCTGTTCAATATAAGCATGTCCTATCATTCAAAAGTAGAAAGTTGATGTTATATGTGAGCTCTCTGCCATTAGAAACATGGAAGACGTGTTTAAGATCAGAAGTTCATCTAATAAGTGTTATAGAGAAGAATTTTGCCTGGGTGGGAAGTGGAGTAGGTAGCCTCTAACCGAATATTTTACTCCCAAAATAAAACTTAACTTTCTTCTAATGTTCCTGTATCAACTCACTAAAAATGTAATTAAAATTCTATTCAACTAGATTAAAACCTTAAATTACATATCCATTATTTAACCAAGAAAAAACTAATCTGAAACAGTTTCAATATTTAGTATAAATACATATAATAATTTAACCAGGTCAGGTACGGTGGCTTATGCCTGTAATCCCAGCACTTTGGGAGGCTGAGGCAGGAGGATTGCTTGAGCCTAGGAATTTGAGATCAGCCTGGACAATATAGTGAGACCCCTACTTTACAAAAAATAAAAAATTAGCCAGCCATGGTGGCATGTGTCATGTAGTCTGGAGGCTGAGGCAGAAAGATCAGTTAAACCCAGGAGTCTGAGGCTGTGGTAAGTCAAGATTGTGCCACTGTACTCCAGCTTGGGTGACAGAATGAAACCTTGACTCAGGATAATGATAATAATAATTTAACCAATGTGCTGTAGCGGACATTAAATTTTCTCTATTCTCTTAGGGTCTCCAGCTGGGCCTAAGAAATAAACTAACATAAGACATATTAGCAGAA